AATAAACTTATTACATATCTAGATAATTAAGAAATAGCTTAAGCTAAAAAGCTTTAAGGACATCTAAGTATTTCTAGGCTTTATAAACTTTTATTAAAGATTTGTTTATAATTACTTAGAGATTATACGCCTACTAGTTAACTATATAATAGCTACTTAAGCTCTAAGTCTACTCTATAAGGGCTTTAACTTAAAAAAGAAGAAGAAAGTAAAGTAGAATTATAAAAGTTTTATAAAGTAGTACTAAGAATAGTTCTAGCCTAAAAAGGCCTATAACACCTTCTTAACTTTTAAGTTAAAATTTATAAATACTTTAGTTTTTTAGCACTTTAATTTATTAAAGCTAGTTATAATTATTATAGACGCTTTTAAGTTTGCTATAGCAGTAATACTGCTCTAGCCTTAGTTCTTTAAGCTAGCAGTAAATTACTACTAGAGGCCTATAGCCTTCTAGAGCTGTAAGTTAAGCAGCTTATAACTTTATTAGCATATGCACAACAAGAAGTTGTGCGTAATTATAAAGAGCTTTAAACATTAAAAGCACTACTTAGAGTACACTTTAAGCATAATCTAAGTACTTTTTAATTATAATAATCTACACTATTTTATAATAATAAAAAAGCTCTCCCTTAAGTAAGCCTACTAGGCAGAAGAGCTAGCGCAGTTTAATTTTAAGATTAAATATAAGCTAGGTCTAAAAAACCTAGCTAACAGACTATTTAAAAAACCTAATTATATAAAAAAGGTTTTTTTAAAAGAAGCAAAATTACTATAAAACATAATGCTTCTAACTTTATAGTAAAAGCTTTAGGTGTAGATAATTTAAACATCTACAGCTTATTATGCTAGTTAGGCAGCATGTAGTATAACTTCTTCTAACAGTAACCTAGCAAGGTGCTATACTATACCTAGGGAATCCCTAAATTTACCTAATATAATGTTAATTATTAAAGGTACACTTTTATTAACCTAACCTATTATTCCTATAGACTATAGCAGTTACAAGGCAGTTAATTCTAAAGCGCTGTAGGTTCTTTATAGAGAACCTATAATGCAATAACAGACCTAAGATGTTATAGAGGAGTTTTTTTATTACTTTTATATCTATAAAATGTTATTACTAAACTATCTTACTATTACAGCTATGTAAAATAAAAACGCCTATGCTTTAAAAGTTCTAAAACGTCTTTTTAAGTATATTAAGTAAGTACAAAAAACTAATAAAGCCTATTAGTTAAATGCGCTTTTAATAGAAAGGAAAGTAGGTAAAGTAAAAAAAAGCACCCTATTTTAGAAGCATAACTCTATAAGTGTCCTGCGTAGGAATAGAAGAGTGTAAATTTTAGATAATAAAGCCTTATGTTAAAATATCTTAACAAAGAACTACAACAACTTTATAAAAAAGTATTATAGTGTTAAAAAGACTATAGACCTTTTTAAAAGGAAATACTACTAGCTGTACCTTTACTGTAATGTTTACAAGTATGTTATAAGGTGCACACTATGCTAGCTAAATAAGATTTAGCAGCATAAGCTTTAAAAGTTACTAAAACTTTTACCTCTACTTACTTTTTTATAAAGGCACTACTTACTAGACTTTATTACTAACTTGCTAAAGTTAAGAGACTTTATAAGTAGCACTTATAACTTAATTCTAGTACTTGTTAACTACTTTTTAAAGTATGTCTAGTACTTTTCTGTTACTAAGACTATTATAGTAAGAAAACTAGCTACCCTTCTAAAAAAGTAATTCTTTATAAAGATAAGACTACTAGATACTCTTATTTTTAATTATAGTTTAATTTTTATTAGTTAGTTTTAGTTAAACATCTACTTCTACTTAAAGATTAACTACTAGCTTAGTATAGCTTTTTATCTTTAAACTAATAAGTAAACTAAGTGTTAAAATAAAAAATTAAAGTTATTTTTATAGTTATACTTAAACTACTAGTATAATAATTAGTGCAAGCTGCTACTATACATAGAGTATGCTTACAACTCTAAGAAACACTCCTTCTACAGTAAATGCCTAATACGCGTAGCGTACAGGGTCACCTTAAAGGGCTTTAATAGGGTTAAGGATAATTATTAGCTTAGGCGCTTACTCTAAGTATAGAATAAGTCTAGAAAGGCACTAGCCTTATAGAACTAAGTAGTTACTTATCTCTTAAGATAAAATAAGTAATAGGAAGCTGCACACTTATGCTTTAAGCAGGTGCAGCAGCACTAGGTTAAATAGTATAACACTAAGCATTTAAAAAAGCACTTTAGTGTAGGAGATTAAGTTATTTTAAGGTTAAAGCATATTAAAACATAGTATCTATTAAAGAAGCTTAATACAACATACTTAAAACCTTTTAAAGTACTTAAGAAAATTAAGAAGCTAGCATACTAGCTAAACTTACTATAATTAATGTAAAAGATTTATTTTATCTTCTATGTTTTACTACTAGAGTAATAGAATAAGCCTTTTTAAGAAAAGCCTTTCTAGCCTAGGCCTGTACACGTTCTAGAGATAGATAGTAGAGACTGCTATAAAGTTAAAAGAATTCTTAAACATAAAGATTTAAAGGTAAGATAATAGTTTTTTATAAAGTAGCTTAAGTAGCTTTTTAAAGACTCTACTTAAAAACCTAAAAAACACTTTAATAACTATAAGAAAGTTTTTTAAGATTATTAGCTTACCTTACATAATACATTATAATAAAAGTAATAGCTAAACGCTACACCTGCAGGTACCCTTTAGGGGACAACTGCACTAACTTTAGCACTTGCAGTAAAACCTAATGTAATCTAAACTCTACAACATAAAAATTACTAAAAAAAGTTAGCATATAAAGATAAAGTAATAACTTATACTTCTTACTATAAAATTTTAACTTTATGCAGCTTATAAAGTTATAACCTAGAGTAGGGTATAAATGTCTGTATTAAAGGTACTGTCTAGGGCCCTACTAGACCTAGAGAGGTCCTAGGTGAAGTCTAGACTAGGTATTATCTATATATATAACAGAAACATCCTAAAGATTTCTAAAAACATTGCTAGCTACTTTTTTAGTAGAATAAAAGTTTTATGCGCTCTTAATCTATTTATGCTGTACTAGACTACTAATTTATAACTAGTAAGCTTACCTTCTTAGCAGTAGGTATATTTAGCCTATAGTAGTACTACTGTTTCTTCTAGTTAGTTGCGTAGCTGTCTTTAAGAAAAATTACTTTAGACTTAAACTAAATAATAGTATTATTTAGATAGTTTTTACTAACACTACTAAAACTACTTTAAAGTAAAGTTAGCTATAATCTAAATAACTTATAATACTAAAATATACTTTATGCTGCTTATAGTTGTGTTTTTAGGAAACCTAACACTACTAGGCATACTTTACTAGCGTAAAGCCCTTAGTCTTACGCTTTAGCTACTAGAAGTATACATTAATATACTCTTTAAGAGCTAAGGCGTATAGAAGGACATTCTTCTAATAGTAAAGCTAAGCCTTAGTGTCTAAGTTAAGTTCTTAACTTAGGTTACCTATAGCCTTAATAGCACATTTATTATAGTTAAAAGCTTAGTTAATATAGTACTAAAGGATATTTCTAGTGTAGTAGAAGTAAAGGTTAAGCTGTACACAGTTAGCATAAACTTAAAGAGCTTTAAAAAGACTTACTTTTATATAGCTACCTACTTTTTTATTAACACAGCCTTTGTAAACACTAAATAGTGTGCTTTTTATGCACACACTAGTGTTTATAGCTATGTAAAGATTAAAAGCTAAGGGCTTTTTACTACTTTTTTTAGACAACAGCGCAGCAACACAGCTATAGCACTATTTTTAGATAAGTAGCAGCTAAGGCTCTAAGTAAGGCAAAAGCTTATAGACATGCGTAAAAAATTTTTTTTAAAGCACTAAGTAAAAAATAGAATAGGCATAGTAAAAAAAAAAAAGTTATAGCTAAAAAGACTAGTTAAAAAAAAGCTAAAGTAAAAGTAAAAAAAAAAAGTTTAAAAGTAGTAAAAATAGTGTTTTATACTTAAACCTATACTTACTTTTTTTACTTTATGTAAAGTCTAAAGTTACTTTAGAGCCTTACTGCTTACAACCTGCTTAGTATAGAATGTTAGAGAGATAAAGAAACACATAAACAGCTTAAAAAAACTGTTACTTATGCTTATACTTAACTAACTAAAAGAGTAACTACTTCTAGTAAATAGTAACGCATTAAAAGCATTATTTTTAAGCATTTTACACATAGAGATATCTTTAAAGCACTAATTTATTAGTACTTAAAGGAACTAGTAAAATAACTTACTTATATAGCACTACACCTTTTTATTTAGCACTTGCAACTCTAGACTAGAGCAGCTATAAATTTAGTCTTAAAAGCTTTATAGCACTAACTCTAGAACTATTCTAGTAATACATTAAGACTTTAAGCTATTTTAAACAAAATTATAATGTTATAAGCTTACTAATAACTATTTTTTTAATAAGAAAGACCTAGTAATTAACTGCTGCATTTAAGAGAACTACCTACACAGAAGTAGTGCATCTACAGATGCCTTGTAGTACCTATAAGTACTAAAACTAAAACCTTAGAACTTTTAAAAGCAGACCTTAACTAAATAGTAAAGAAGAAAAGTTATAATTTTAAGTTACTTTTATAGAAGTAGGCTTTTTAATTATAAACTATTTACTTTACTTAGCCTCTGCAGGCTTATTAGGCTTAACTTAATAAGACAAGAACGCCTTATATTAGCAGCTATAGTGTTAGTAATAATGTTTTAAATCTCTTAGTTATACTTTTTTAGATATAGTTTTCTCTTACTAAGGTTTTCTAGAGTTTAGTTACTAGTAATAAGTACTACTTAGGCGTAACCTGTACAGTCCCTACTGCAGGTCCGCCTGGGGCTAGTCTAAGTTACCATAATATCCTACCTATCTAATTGCAGGATTAAGGACGACCTGCAGAAGGAGGGGGGCTATGTCACAGTCAGCTTAGACATGCCTTGGACTCTCCCTAGAGAGCCCTCAGCCCAGCCTTGGGCACATGACGTCCCGTCACGTGCCCCAGCACATATATATATATATCCTCTTACAAACCCCTGAGTCTCCTCAAGGATTCGTCTATTAATACTATCCTGTACCCCCTTCTGCGCTTCACGCTTCCTGCTTCACAGTGCTCTCACAGGTTATTTTATATCTAATTTTCTTACTAACTAGCGTGACGTTAACTACAAGCTCTTAACCTTAATAACAACAGTAATATTATCTCTAGCATTAAAAAAGGGATGTACAGCTTTAAAAACAGGAATTAGTTATGTAATAAGAGAGATAGGGGAGGTCTGAAGTGATAGAGGCTGGCATTTGATGAGGATCGCCACATCACATTGTACTGGAACCTCCTACGTCATCACATCTGCTGCGACCCTTAAAAAAATTAAGAATATAGATCCTCTATATTGTATAATAACCTTAAAAAAGCTCTGGATAGAATATCGCGATGAATTGCTGTTTAAAATTGATACAAATCAGCTGGTAGACGAACAGGCTTGGCATCCTGAGGTCGGGGTTGATGGCCCGAGCGTATATAGCGTGGTTGCGCTGGATCTGGCCAGACTCTGTACAAGTCCGAGATTATCCATTGTCGTGTGCGAAATTTGCTGGATTCTTGGCAATGCCAAGTAACCACTTTTGCCTCACAAATCTCATAGAGATTCAGGTAACTGCACATACAGTCATTCCAAAAAGTCTGTCCCATGGCCTGAGCACTCGCTTATGAGCTCAGGGGACTCGGAAAAATCCCCCCCACCCAAATTAGTACTGCAGGCCTTTCCCTGACCCCCAAACACGCATCTAGAGCTCTAGAAAAGCCTAAAAAATCCTTTATTATTTAATTTTAACGCTGCAGCTTCTTCCTAATTAGGTAATTAACAACAGCCTACTAAGATAAGCTAGTCCTTTTATAATAGTTAAAAACACTCCCTTACTGCTGCTGCTAGCTAATTAGTCTAAAAACATCCTTCTTTCTAGTTAATAGCTGCTGCTGCTCTTAAAAAGGTCCTCTTATTAGCTTAGCCCTTTTAGTCTCTTTAACTCTTATAATTTATCTATTTTTTGCAGCTAGCTAAGGTTAATAAGGACCTTATTAAATTAGAGGATAAAGAGCTAGCTAAGTTAGCTATAAACAATCTTATTATACTATTAGTAGAGGTCACACAGGGAGAGGTTACAGTAGAGATACAACAACCTAATAACACAGAGGCGTTATAGAGGTCGCGTTTATTGTTAATAAATAACTAGGTACAGGAAAACGCTAGGGATCTACTAGCACTAAAGTATACAGCTTAATAGCAGGCGTACATTTTAAGGGGCTGTATTAAGGAGATGTTACCTAGCTTTTATGCCTATTATCTCTCTACTAAAGAAAGTAATACTGCTACTCTTTAGCTACAGCTTTAATAGTAGAAGGAAAGGACACTCTAGAACGCCTAAGTAGCTAGTCCTAGTGTTTATAAAGCAACTATAGTAACTAGTAAAGCTACGTATAGTAGTAAAGCTGCTGCTAATGCAGTAGTAATAAAAATCTCTAGTAAAGCTAATATAAAGTCTCTAGTAAAGATGTTAAAGGATTATTCTAAGAACTACTATTTTTACTGTAGAACAAAGAAAAGGTAGTTTATAAACATTAAGATAGTTATAACTAAAGCAGTAAAGCCTTTTATTGCTATAGTAATACTGTTGTTCTAAGCTAGAGCTAAAAAATTAATGTTATCTGTTACCTAACGCTAGCTTAATAGCCTTAATAAGCATTTAGCCTAGCAGGAGATTAGTATAACTTATTAAATTACCTTAACTAACAGATAGCTCTGTTATAATTCTTTTTATAAGAATAAAAGTAATAAGACTTACTACTAGGTGCAGGGTAATAAGAATTACATTAATATGCACTACCCTCTAAATAGTAATAACTTATAATAATAGATAGCTAACATGTAGGCTACTTTACTAAAAGTAACTTATAATAAACTATCTAAACAAGTTATTATATCCTTTTATAAGCAAAGAAAGCAGAAACTAAAGGTAAAATAGCAAAAAAAGCAAGCATAATCTCCTTTTCTATCTGCTAGCGTTGCTTTATTGCTAATTACCTAGCTAATTAAGCTAGAGACGCTCTAACTACTGCGTAGCATGCATTAATTATTACTACTATTACTAACATCTTTTTAACCTTCTTGCTTCTCTTAGCCTGCTTTATGTGCTAGGCAGCCTTTAAGTCTTTTTAAGATGCCTAATTATAACTATACTAACATTCTTAAGCGCTTTTTTAAGTAGTAGAAGGCTTAGCCCTTAACCTCTACTTACATAGTAGATATGCTTAAGCAGATAAGTTACATATTAGTAAAAAAATAACTAAAATCTTAATACACTTAAAAACCTAGGCATAATAATAGAAAAGTAATAAGAGAAGTACTATAATAAATATAACTACTTTAAGCTAGGAACCCTCTTTAAGCTAAAGGAGAAGGCTGCTTTTTTTAAGAGAGAACTAAAGGCTGCCTAGAAGCAGTATAGGGATAGGCTTAATAGAGAGGACTTAGATAAGACATAATTATTGTCACAATTGTGCACAAGTAAGGTTATAGAGCTTCACAGAGGTCTAGTTTAATTACTATGTAAGGTATTATAGTAGGTACAAGACGTTGTGTGAGGAACAGGAAGGTTTAGAAGAAAATTAGTAATTAAATACTTAGCTTAAAAGTCTAAGCGCTTTAAGTATAAATTAAGCCTATTTTAAGTTTAGTTAGTGTTAAAGCAGTTTATGCTTAAGTTTATGTCTATGTTATGTTATGTTTATGTTAGACGTGCACTAATAATACTTTAGTACGCGTCTAATATAGTTATATCTAGGATCTAGGGAGGATACTGTAACAGTACCCCCTTCTTATTAGGAAAAGAATCCTTTACATTAGTAGTTCTAGCATTAGGTTGTCTTTATTAGAGTATAAGTTTAGTTTAGATAAGTATTAAGCATAGAATTAGGTTACTATAAAGTTTTTTTATAAGGCTTCTGCAGGTTGTTATAATAGTTTATTATATCTAGTTTATTTTATAAAGTATTTATAGATATGTTTTTTTTTATTAAACTAAATCTATTTAATGTCTTTTATAACATATTTTAGTTTATTATTTATAATAATAGGTTTAAGTAGCAGGTTTAGCTATCTAGGTAGATAGTTAGATTTAAGGGCTACTTAGCGCAGTAATAATACATAGAACACAGGGTGTATCTTTATGCTGTTAGGTAGGATTAATTAGTAAGTATGTAATAAAACTATATAGGCTACTATAAAAAGGCTAAAGTTCTTTTAATTAAGTTTCTTTAATTATTAGTTTATTTAGATATTTCTAGTGTTTAGCTAGACTTTCTTACTAGCTGCATACACAGGGGTAGAGGTTTAGAATTAGTTTACATACTTTTATTAAAAAGCTTAAGCCTATGTAAGCTTTTTATAAACATATTTAGATATATTTTAAATTTTATTAATAAGTCTATTTATGTCTATTACTTATATAGATTAATAAGTTAGTTAAGAGGTATTTAAAAGTAGTATCTATAGTTTACTAAGAATAAGAATACTTATGTTAATTTAGATATTATGTTATTAGCTTTAAACTATGCTATAGCTAACTATTTTACCTAGTTATTTTACTAGTAGTTTATGTACACTTATAGGACTTATTTTATTATAGTGTTTATGTTCTTAGTCTAGCTATTAGTCTCTAGGTAAAAAGCTGTAGATAGATAGAGGATAATTTAGAGCTATTTATAGAGTTTGTTCTAGAAGGCTAAGACAAACTGTGTACCTCTATCTAATATAATTATGTTAGGCAGGCTATAGTAAACTTATACATATTAGTAGAATAACTAGGCTATATTAGGGGCAGTTATAAAGGAATATAGTATTAAGTGTTAATACTTAGTTAAGTAATTAACAACTACTATAATATTTATATACCCTTTAAATAAAAGTAGGTTTATAATAAAGTTAATTAATATGTTTTTTAAGCTTATTTAAAGATTAAGAGTAGTTTAAGTAGGCTATTATACCTTTTTTAAGAAGCTTTTACTTTACAGCAAGTATAGCAACATAATATGTATTAGCGTACAGTATAGAACATGCGGGGCTAGTAGTACTCTCTCTATAGTAGGTTAAGAGTCTTTTCTTTACCTAAGTGTCCTTTAACAAGTAAGTTATGTATAATTTAGAGTAGTTTAATTCTTAGTTTATTAAAATTAAAAATTATAAGTTAGTTATAGTAATATAGCTTACTATTTTAGTTTTTATAGTTAGCTAGTGTTATTTTCTTTAACTAACTAGCGCTGTTTTAGAGCAGGTCTAAGGTTTTTTAAATAAATTTATTATTTAAATACTTATTAGTAATAATTTAATTAATTATCTAATTTATTTTATTTAAGTTAAAGTCTAAAAATAGCTTAAGTTAAAGTAAAGTTTAGTGTTAAGCCTTTTACACTTTTTTTTAAATAAGAATGTCTTAGAATTGCTTTATAAAAGCATCTAGTTTCCCTTTATCTTAACTAGAATAATAAGTAATCTTAAAATTAAAATAAAATAAGTATTTAAACTAACAGGCTTATTAGTAGCTAAGTTATTTTATAGTTATAAAGTACTATAAGTTCTTATAGTTAGATAGAACCTATATTAGATGCACTGCACCTTCTAGTTTAGGTTGCTATTATTTAAAGTAGTGTACTATAGTAAGTAATTTTTTATTATAGATCTTATAATTACCTTCTATAGAGCTTATTTTTTTAAGAAGTATATAATAGGCCTAATAGTCTTATCTAGCTTAGTCTAGAAAAGAACTTCTGCTACTACATAGTCTAAAGCATTAGCTTCTATAAGTATTAGTAGTTTAAAGTTAAAGTAGTAGAGTATTAAAGCTTTAGTAAAGGCTTTTTTTAGCTAGTTAAAAAACTATTAGTAATTTAAGTTAAAGTTAAATTAAATCCCTTTCTTAGTAAGTATAATTATAGAGCTTACTTACTATAAAAAGTTATTAATAAATTATTAGTAAAAGTTAGTAAATTTTATAAAAGCTTAAATATCTTTTATGTCTTTTAGGTATTACTAATCTAGTACAGTTTAAACCTTAATAGGGTCTATTTAGATGCTATTTATAAAGATTACATATTTTAAATATATAACTTTTAATTAGTAAAACTTACATTTATCTATGTTAAGTTACAGACCTACTTCTTCTATAGCTTTTAGCACTAGGCGTATATGCTATTTATGCTCTAAAAGGCTATTACTATAGATTAGAATATTATTAATATACGCAGTACAGAACACATCTAGGTAGGGTTAGAGCAAGTTATTTATAAAATGTTAAAAAGTACTAAGCGCGTTAGCTAAGCTAAAGGGCATTACTAGGTATTTAAATAGTTTATATTAAGTTTAAAACACTATTAGCTACTTATTACTCTTTACTATTCTTAGCTTATTAAAGGTAGTAATAATATCTAACTTTATAAAATACTTTACTTTACTTAGTTAGCTTAGAGTTTCCTGTAAAAAGAAAATTAAGTATTAGTTTTTAATAGTAACAGCATTTAGTCTTTAGTAGTTAACGTAGAATTAAAGCCTACTCTTAAGTTTCTTTATAAATAGTATAAGTAACACTACTAGTTGTCAGATTGAAGCACTGTTTCTGGGCTTCCTGAGATGAATGATGGGTTTGGATATGATGTATGGGATGATTGCTTGATTGTATTGATTGTCTTAATTTATTGATCCTTTTTCTGCTCTACTTGT